TAGCCTTATCTCCTTCTTCGATTTACATGAAGTTGTTGACCTGGCCCTTACAATATCAAACCAATTTAAAAAGTTTAAAATATCTATGAAAGATTTAAAGAAAATTCTTAATTTTGTGGTGTGGATTGGATGCCGGAAGTGTGATTAGGGTGTATGGAGCTCGCAATGATGGAGAACTAGCTTTGGTTAGAATTGACATCAGTGAAATGCGGGTCTTCATTGCTACTAGTGAACATTCGCCTAAAGTATTTTTGCCAGGCAAGTTCGGAAAAACAAATTATTTTTTTGCCAAAAAGTGAATTTTGGATTTTTAGTTACGGCTTTTTGTATTCCAGGCCCATGTGGGATAGGGCCTTTCTATATTAAGGTAACGATATGTACATACCAAATAAATTGCGGCTCTGTAGATAAAACTAATTTCTTAAATCTATTATACAAAATTGTTTACATTTAAGTAGTTCCCAAATGTTCTTACTAGATATTATATTGCTTTTGCTAAACAAAAGCTGATGCCACGCGCCCTATTCGTGCCACAACATTGCCCACTGCTCAGTGAGGTAAATACATACCCACAATTCTACTGGCCAACAGCCTAAACATATCCGAAAATCATCACTTAGTTGCTACAACAAAATTTCAATTCAAAAATAAAGGGGTTGCCAATTGCGTTAAGCGGATAATATTCGCTTTACAATTTTATTTTGTTTTCTAGATGAAGTAAAGTTTTTTCAAACAAACAGTGAAAACTTTAAAATGTTGTCTTTCCTCAGAAAATTCTCAATTTTGGCAACTACCTTGAAAGCTTTTTACAGTATTTCCAAAGAACTATAGAAAAATTTGCTAACGAGATAGCCTTAGCATTAGGCTGCTCGCTTTTCAGCAACAAGTATTTTAAAACTTTAATAGATACAAAATGTATTTTTTGTTTTTAAAACCATATACACAAATAAATAAAAAAACATATTTTTAAAAATTAAATGAAACTAAAAAAAATTAGTTTTTTTTTCTTTTTAAATCAACAAATCTAAAAGTTAAATTCGAGAACCAAAAAAAGTAAATCAAAAAAGAAATCAATTCTTAGAAAAAAAAATAATAGTTCTATGTTTAAAACGAAATTTAAAAATTGAAAGAAAGTTAAGCCAAGAAACGACAAAAAAAAATAAAATAAGATCCTAAAAATAAATGAAATAAAAAAATATATTTTTCTTTTAAAATACTAACATTTAAAAATTAAAAGAGAATTAAATTAAGAAAAGTAAAACAAATTAAACTAAAGAAGAAAAAATAAATAAAATAAGTTTCTAAAAATTAAATGAAATTCAAAAAAAAACTTTCTTTTTAAAGAATAAAATATAATTATTAATTGAAAATTTAACTAAAAAAAGAAAGAAATTTTATTTAAAAAAGAAAAACTGAATATGTTCCTAAAAATTAAATGACATTAAAAAATATCATTTTTTTAAAGAGTAACATCTAAGAATTAAACGAAAATAAAATTAAATTAAATTAAAAAAGTATATATTTTTAATTTTCAAACAATAAAATCTAAAAATCAAAATAAAAAAAAAATAAAAAATGTAAATTAAAAAAGAAAAAAATTCGCTCGAACGCGGATCTCTCGAATGGCACGCTAGTGCTTTGCTTACTAGGCCATTGCGACGCGAGCAATAATCAACAATACAATTGGAATGTTTTTTTACTCAAAGCAATACGGACACGGAAGGGTTAATCAAACTCTGCATACTTGATTTTTAATAACTAGAAAGCGACAAAATGCTATAGTATGTCCTGCCTATATTCATTAATATCCCCTCTTCGCACTTGGTTTCTCAACAGTTTTCAAAAAAATAGGTGACCCTATTGGCACACCCTATAAAGTGCTCAATATAAAAAAAAAACTCGAAATATCACCGTATTTGTGGAATAGTTTAACACCCCCAAATAGAATAAAAGAGCGCAAACACAATGTTATTGAATCCAATAAATTCGCAATAACAATTAGATTAATAATTTCGCCAAAAATACGATCTGGACCATGACTGGATAACCAA